CTATAAATGATTCGAATAGCGAATAATTAGTTCTACTGGTATTTTCGTTATATTACCACATTAAATTATATTTTACAAGATTAATCGATTATAATTCACTTCTGATGTAGTTGCAATATCTCAATTTGAAACACTTTTTGTGGCAGTTACAATTTTACTTTAGTTGTCAGAGTTCAGCTTGGTGACAATTTCAGGGGTTCTAAACTTGAGCAATCCAAAAAAAGCATGAAAGTTTGGAGCATCGTGTTCGAGGCTCGAAAACAGTACTAATCTTCGGTAGGTGTGATTAAAACGTAATAAGAGATTGAAACCGATTACCGGTAGCATAGAATTAGAACAGATTATTCCCGTGTAAAACATACGGACAATTTTTGGATTTAATCAATTTTTGCGTCGTTTTTTACATGGGAAGGGTCTCTATTTAATTTTACTTCATCTTATAGTTTACAAAACGAGTACAAAAGTTTAAAGAATCGATCGAAATTGGCATAAAGTGAACTGTATGAAAATATTCAGCATGCCTCTTGTGAAACAAAATTCAAATTATAATAGAGTAAAAAACTTTTAATCGATTGATATTGATTATAATTTTGATTGTGCTGCACAAAAATCAGGTTATTACTTTCGATTTTACTCATAGAATTTTGAAATTATAATCGATTTTAATCGCTCCAATCTTTCACTAGAACTCTTCTCCTCGCACACCCACACCCCGGCAAGAGCATTACATTTTGGATAGGAGAGAACACATATCCAAGCGTATGACATTTAAAGGATAATCTTAAAAAGTAACCCTGCAATGCGTATGTGAGGTCAGCTCGTAGTCAAATAATGCTCTCTATTAATCTAAAACTTTGGTTTCAATGAATATTTTTCAAGAAGTAATTGATTAAAATTTGGGCTAGATTATTTTTACTTGGATTATTGACTGTAACACGAGCAGCTGCTTTTGGTGTTCATTCTTATATTAATGAAGAAACAATAATAAAAATAATATTATTTCTTTAATGTCAATAATTGTTGAAGGAAAGCGATGCAAATATATCAGCTAAGATAGGACATGGTGAAGAACAATGTCTTTCAAGTATTGAGTGATATCAAAGACAGTCAAAACTAAAGAAAAAAACTTATTAATCTATAATGAAACTAATTTATTTAATTAAGTTTTATTTCAAATTTTGATTTACATAAAATATATTTAAATGAGTCATATAAAGAAAGACTCTTATCAAACAAATTAGAATAATTTTCTTGAATATTTTCATCGTTTGTTTTTTTTACTAATTTCAAGTAATTGTTAATCATTTATATTTTGAATAATTGTTAAAGCTTTTATAAAAGTAGCATAGGGACATCTGTTTGGATATTTTAATTGATTAAGTTATTCAGGTAATAAAATAAACAACAAAAATTTTTATTTAATGTTTCAAAAACATGTTTCAATAGATAATTTTGATATTGTATAAAGATTTCTTGTATATAAATTATTTTAAATATCTTTTTCAAATTGTTCTCATTTTATAAAATGATAATCATATCCATCTATTTCATTTTCTTTTTTTTAATCGAGTTGTATAGAGAATAACAATGATAATTGAAAACTGCATTTATTAAATCTTCTCATAATTTATCGAGATCAAATTATAATTATTGAACGTTTAAAGTATTCATTTGGTATAAACCATTTAACTCCTTCATATGTATTAAAACTGTAATGTAATTAGATATGATATAGAAGAATTTATTTCTGTAAATCTCGTTTTTCTTTAGATTCAATTAAAATTTAAATAAATTTAAGAGGAACAAAGATGACAACTCTGAATATTAAGAGAAAGGATAAATTTTTTTTTGTTCTTTATAATTTATTTTCACTTTCGTGAAGAGGAAACAAATTTTAATGGATGTTAGGTCTTCCAGAGCTCTATTTCACCCAAGTTAGCTGATAATGCGAGAGCACTCTCGAAAGATGTCTTGTGCAATTGAATCGATTTTATGAAATTCCGTCAATTTTTTTTTTCTTCTTTTTGATTTATCGCTGTCTTTTAATTAGTAAAACTTCAGTTGGCATTGGTTTCGTATTCTGAAGTTCAGAAGTTGAAATTTACAGTAGCTGCATGAGTATTGTTTAACGATCCTCAACTCTAAACGAACTTTCCAGTATCAATTCATAAATACATGTACAAATTTATCAAGCTTATTCTCTATTTGAAGAACTATTTTTCAATCAATTATTTTAAAAATGAAAATCAGAAAAAATACGTTTAAGACTATGTGTTATGAGAGAAGAACAAGGCTAAAAAAATTATCGTAGTTATCACAATTTTTAGTTACATATGTCTTAAGACAAAATGACAACCTATATCATGAAATAATAAACTCATGTTCAGAACTAGACAAAAAATAAAAATAAAATAACTACGTAGTACTGATTCCTGTTTTGTTTCTTTCACTGTGTGCCATCTGTTAATATAAGATAGGTATAAAGAAGTGTTTAGAATAGTGTACTGCGTGATTGGTAGTTTTGATCACAATCACGCGTATTGTGAGCGTGAATTTGATGATCACGCAGTATACAAGTATTAGATCAGCTCTTGTGCTTTCTTTATTTGGTTTTTCTTAGGAGTAGCATATGAGCTGTCAGATGTTTTTCTGATTTCAATATGAACATTAAATTTCTGAAGAAATTATTGAGATTTGAGAACATATATATTACAATCGTGATCACAATCATGATTACGAATTTTTTCTTGCGATCGTGAATTTAACGATCACGCAGTACAGTATGTAGATGTCACTGACCATTAACTGTTTAACATACAGAGTGGTGTATGAGAAGCATGAATGAAAAGATGGATACTGTAATTCGTTTTTATTACGACAAATGTCACAAACGGTCGACCACAAAAGAAATATTGAGAAATATATGATTTAATATATTAGATAGTGCACAAAAGTTATTTCTTCAGAAAACACAATAAAACGAAAAATGTAAAATATTGTGATGGTCAAAGAATCATGATCTATCCATCGAAGTTACTATTGACTAGTAAAAATTTTCGCGTTACGGTTATGGGTGTGAGTTTAGACATACTCTACATCACATCCATACCATCATTCAAATCCTCAGCCCCACCCACATCCATTTGTCTCAACTTTGAAAGTAATATTTGTTATGCATGAAATCAATTTAATTATATTTTATATGTACTTTTCTTTTTTTTTCTTCTTCAACTGAATGCTGAACAATGGCTCGGTTTGCAATTAAAATTTACAGGATGGATGTGTGAATGTGGGTATGAACGTTAGTGAAGAGAATATCACAACCATGTTCACACTCACACTCACACTCAGCTTTTTCATCGAAAATTGTTTCTCGGTCGCTGTATAAATACAGAAGAAACTTTTCCCATTAATGGGTTACCGTGTATTTCTCCGCCTACGATACACAAAACAACACATGGATATCAATACTACTACTTCTCGTTCTTTTTCTGTCGTCATACTATGCTAATGGTGGGGAACTCTCTTCTCTGATGATTAATATCGCTCTTTTTGTTCGGGAGAATACCCATTTGTGCAACATTTTCTGTATAAATATTCATACAGATCCTAGTGTCTTTATTCATCGATCTATCGTCGTCGATAACATCATCTAGCAACATAGGAATACACATCTGATCATCAATACAATCTTATACGAACTAAGGTACAGAAAATATTGCACTGTTTCTTTTCAATTAGTGTCAAAATACAACTTATAATATTAACCTGATACCTAGAGAGAAGATATTCATAAAACAAAACTTCTTGACATACTTATTCCAGACTATTGTCAAATGTAACATAATATTTTGAAATAACTATGGTTAGTAGTGTTTGTTTGTTTCTACTTTGTGTCTTCTGAATATGAAGAATTTTTTATTACGATTGACAATCGTGAAAGAATGCTTTCAAAACTAAGATTATTGATTTATAGTCTTCCAGCGGTCATTTTTCACACTTTCTTGGGGAAAATAATTCATATCTAACAATTACCATTTTGATTAGACAAACATAAAAGCATGTCGGTGTTGACTGTTTGCTGCAAAACAGTTGAATCGAGTGCATTCTGTTATGCGTCAAAAAGCCGACAAAAGCAGGATTCTCATAAGTGTGTTTTTATCTATTCTGAATTGATAGCTACATCGGTTACTTGATTCAATGCTTCCTTTGAGTATTTCGACGCTCTTCGTTATTAAAAAAAAGCAGATACCTATAAGTTTGACTGCTGCTTTGGATAGACGACCTTGACAATTAGATGATTGTGAAAAATTTACAATGGTCAAGTTGATATCATATATTTCATGAAGTATACAAATTTCTTTAGAACTAATTTACAAAGATGAGCTTTTTCAAAAAATAGCATATGTCTCCAAAGTTATTTCAACTGGTCAAATGCCGCTGACCAAAACAGGGCATTCACTAAAAAGACTTAATGCATAGAAAATGATAATGACCTAGAGTACTGAGAGCTTTCTGAAGAAATTCTATTGTCATTCAGTTTTCATTTCACTGCCTTTGAGTCATTCTTTGTTGCTTTTTTAGTTGAACCACAGTTTCTTTTTCCTTTTTTTGAACATTTGGCGCCATTTCAGAACGAAGTGTATTTTTCATCTGAACTCGCGTAACCTTTAAATCAAAGGAGTAGAGTTTTATTGCTATTTTTTGAGACATAAGCTCTATAGACTCTTTCATGAATAAACGTTCAAAAGTTGTTTGGTGAGATTAAGCGATGACTAGACTAAAATAAAAACAAATATGGACTACATATGATTTACGGCTGATACTCAAGGACAGTTGTCGTTTCTAATAGTGTGTCAAAATATTGACTGAACAACAACTAGAATTCCAAAATGTTCCATATCTTGTTTTCTTGGAATCTGATTATTTATTTGGCCTTCAACTGTTTGGTTGCTGTTTTCGCAAACCGTGCAATTCATTGGAACGGAAATAATTGGGCCATGGCTTGTGATTTTTATGGAAACGATCTTTGGAGCGTTCGAATTGCACCAGAACTTTGTGGTGGAAAATGTGCTGAAACACGGGGTTGTACTCATTTTACTTGGAGCCGATGGGATGGTGGTACATGTTGGATGAAAAAGGGTCCAGTTTCCAAAGATAACGCCTTCGCAACCAATGATCACAGTATGGTCTGTGGTGTAAATCATGTCAAACCTAACAAAGAGCCCAACGTCAGGTAAAATGCCATTCTTTTCTCAATTCATCAGGGGATTCGACCAGAGATGGGATAGGTTCGTGTTTTTCTAGAATTGAGCCGATCCCTTCTTTGATTTCAACTTTTGCCATAAAAACTGAACTTGTTTCAGTAATACGACTTCTAACATAGTGAAATGAAGAGATCTTAGAGAAGATAAAATCATTTCATTAGAATAAGCTAAAGCTAAGTAGTAGAAAAGACTTTTAATAAAGCAATTGGTCATTTCTGATCGAAACCATTATGAAGAAAAATGATCTGATGGACACACTTCCTTTTCGTCTGGTACAGTGTGAATCAATAACTATCTGCATTGATATAAAATCTGTACATATGCGACGCTCTCCGAACAATCTTTATAAATAATCCTATTTCATTGCGAGATTTTTCAATGTTTAATGAAAGTATTAAAAACTTTGAGTATGAGTCGAGTCGAATATCACTTCACCTATGAGACAATCGGTCACCCAAAAAGTCTTTCTAATTCCATTTCATGAATAGACGCATAGTTCTTGAAAAATCCTCAAGAAACAAATTATATGAAGGGATAATTGAGCACACAGAAGCAGCTGACTTTAGACTGAAGAATAAACCAAGTTCATCGAGATCTTATTCCATGTAGAAGCTCGAACATTAGACAATAGTTGACACAATAAAGTAAACGTCTTGTAAACGATAAATATTCTTCTGACTCTCATCTAGATTGATATATTTCGTAGACATCAGTAGGAAAAATACTCTTTAAATTTTTAGAAGTATTTTTTTATGTGCATATTCTAAAAAAAGATTTACTTGTAAGAATAGAAACGTATTTAACAGAATTTAGAATAGTAGTCGAAAACTGGTTTCAATTAATATATCTAAATGAAAGGAAACTATAATGGTGTTGGTTTTGTAGAATCGTTGTCATCTTGTTGAAAAACTAGATTTTTTCGATTAGTCTACAAGAATCCAAGTATAACAGATCGAATTTCGTGATTTCAAACATCATAATTTTATTTGTGTTAAAAAGCGATCCCATATTCGAGATTGATTTTAAAAGTTGAGTCGAACGTCAATTTTTTTCAAAAATTTTCCTTCTGAGAGAACATTACGAATAAAATAATGGAAACAATTAACCAAATAAAGATTTATTTTGATCTAAAATTCTCTTAGAAAAAGTCATCTAACTGATACATTGATACTGACAATAAATCTGACATTCGTTTTCGACGGAAATAAAACGAAATCAATTGACTTTTAGTAAAACTTTTAATAAAGCTGATAGGTTTTTAGAAGTTTATACATTTTTGAAATTACTGAATGAAAACAAAGTAAAACACTATTTTCATATTCAATTTGACCAGCTTCGTCGCAACAATTATGAACTAGAAGTATTTAATATCCTCGATTTCATGCTATATGCGTCATAATTCTTTTCGGGTACAGATTCGAATGAGCTTTCATATAACATATTGCATTGTTCTACTTCAGACATACTATTAAATATTTTTGGAGTACTTTTCTCTGATACTTTTGGTTACACAAAAGTATGGAAGTTTCGAAAAAGAGAGATCCGGAAAACAGGTTGACCATCTGTATATTTTATTAACTGTTTGAAGTAGTGACTTTGATTATTAATACGAAATTTCATCCGTTCAGTTCATTTATCAAAAGTTTTTATATTCATCCTTGTTCAACGAGTTCAATGTTTTGATTGCAGTGTGATGCAACGATTCAGAGTTGTTTTCATCAGCCAGATTTTGTTTGATCAAGTCGAATTAGTTAATTTATAAACATACTGTTTGGCAGACATTGTTGTGAAGAAATTTCATGATATGTATATCATATGTTGATCTTTTCTTTCGAATTTCGTCGATAAGACGTCTCAAGCAATTATCCTTGTTTCTTTTATAATAGGTCAAACAAGCGAGGTATTGCCTGGCCGATGGAAAACAAACAAGACTCACCCAGTGTTTTTTCTGGTGGAAAAATCTCCTGGATTTACAATTGGTCACCTTATAAGTCCAATGTCGCTGGTATAGAATTTGTTCCAATGTTGTGGAGTACAAACAAAGGTCATGATGGAAATAAATTCTTCAACCAGGCGAAAGGTGCCCGTTTCGTACTCGGTTTCAACGAACCGGAGCGTGGTGACCAAGCAAATATGAATCCAGTGGATGCAGCACATGCCTGGAAACAATACATTGAACCTCTTAGAGCTCAGGGTGCTCGACTAGGTTCACCGGCTATTGCTTCGACTGATCAAGGGTTAAAGTGGATGCGACAATTTATGAACGAACTGGATAAAATCGGTGGGCGAATTGACTTTCTTGCTTTACACTGGTATGGTCGAGGCGTGGATAACTTTATCAACTGGATTACGAAAGTTCGTGAGCATTTCGGCAATAAATATCCTGTTTGGGTCACAGAATTCGCCTGCACATCTTGGAACTCATGGCAGCCGGTCACGCAACAAGAAGTCAACGAATTTATGAGACAAAGTATTGCCAAACTAGATGCATTAAGCTGGGTTGAACGCTATGCGTGGTTCGGCGCACAGCGTCATTTGGATTCTGCACTTGGTTCTACGAACTGTTTGATTGCACCAAATGGACAACTGTCCAAATTGGGTCAAAAATATGTTCATAGTCTTTAAGATATTATCATGATGACAAAGCTGAGAGGAAATTGATTTAATATTTTCAACTATTCCTGAAACTAAAGACATTGCTTGCAATCATTTTCTATCCTACTCAATTATTCAATAAAATACTCTCATCAAAGACACCTTGTTTTAATTTGTGACCAATATCGGTATGATCTATAAGCAATATTTCACGAACGATTATCATTGCCCGTTTTTGCATATATATGGCCGGTACTTACTTTCCCACTTTAGAGTACACTTAACCGAGACTAGTTATAACAACCTGATCACACTTTTCTAGATGCGTGCTACATGATAGTATAGATAGTCACAATTCGCATCGCTCTTGTTAGCATCAGATAACAGATGACGAAAATAGCACAAAGCCTCATGGAAGACACTCTTTATATCGACTCACCATTAATCAGTGCTACTTCCAACGATGTGACCATTCCTATATGCTACATTTAGTGTTCTACGTCATTGTTGGCATGCGTGACAATGAAATTTGTACTCTTAGTAAGATTATCACATTTTCATCTAACGCATTAATCATTATCCTCGTGATCTTAACTTCACGACATGTCAGTCATCGGATAGGTATCGAAGAAATGTTCGACAACATTCCAACTGCTTGCCGATGAGAAAAATTCATTAGTAGCTATGAGTGTGGCGATATACAACGGTTCAACCTTGCTATCGCTGAGTTTTGAACAATGATGGATACAAAGTGATACAGTATAGCAGGCTCTCGTAGTCATTCACGTCTTTCCTAGACGTGCGTACAGATTGACAATAAAATCATTGGTACACAAGACGTGGTTAATTACACGATAGAACAAGCAAGGCTTAGTATACGAATGAATCGCGTCTGCCACACAGCATATACGTTGGAACTCATTAGTCATAGTGCAATCTTGAGAATTATTTCGATCATTTGCAGGTGTGCATGTGTGTCCGGTTTTCAGTCACTGACTCATGCCTATCTAATACCCACACCCATTAAAATGCTGGGAAAGAACATCGCAGAAAATGTCTCCGTAAATTGGTAATTACACGAAAATTATTTCTATCGTCAAGTTATCAAGTTATTTTAAAATGACAAACTATCTCGATAGAGGTCGAAATAGAATTGCCGGACAGATAGGTCATACCGTAGTTTGTGAATGCTCACCACAATTTAAGTTCGATTTATCTCAAACTGTAACTAATTATTCAATATGTGAACTATCGTTAGCCCAAGCACCGAATCGAACCAGTGAACAGAAACAGTATTAGTGGTTTTCCAAAGAACCAGGTTTCTACTCCGTATTCGTTAGTTTTGAGAATATACAAACATTCCTAAGCACATCCTATATAAGAGCAGGTGTTTATCGAAAAAAGTCCGCCTGTATGTTTGAAATGCTTCCGAAAACCAAACTATCCAACTTTTTTAACGTTCAGCACAACTCATGTCCGATGGATTTCAAACTTTTGATGACTATTCTCCCGCGTCTGGTCCATTGTTGGCCATAGAGCCACATCGCACTGGTATGTACAACTGCTGCTATGAGTGTTCCAAGATCGAGGTTTTTTTTCTCGAATTCCTACTTTTGTAAAGAAGGTACCATTTTGGTGCAAAATCAGGCTGATATTCAAAATCAGCTCATTGAGCTGTATCGCGCAGTACGTAAAAAAATCATTAAAAATATGTTCATTTTTATGCTCAAAACTTTCCTAAAAGTTTCTACAGTCACAATCTTCATTACTGATGACTGTCTAGGAACTTGAAGAAAGAAGGGAACATGGGTCTTTCTCGATTGTTGAAGTTCTTCAAGCGAATGTCCTAACTTTTATTCAATTCAAATTCAAACATCTGCTTCGCTCTCTAAATTGTTCAAAAATAGAGCATATGAGTCTGGTTACCTAGAGCATTTATCCTATCTATCAGAAACAGTATGTAGCAATTTTTAGTCATCACTGCGTACATCGACAGCATGTACAACTTGATCTAATCCAAAAAGAACGAGCTTCAGCACTAGACTTGATCCTGTGATTTCTACCAACGAACTCAAAGTATAAATATTTTATTCAATAATGAATTTATACAACAATACATTGACTCGATTTCCTTCGCGGTAGAATTGAATATCAAGATGAAGAAAACAGGGACAAATTCAATTTGTTTCACTGGTTCCACCTCATTAAAAAGGAAACCTGAACAAGTACGAATCAAATTTCGTGTCAAAAGATTCCTCTGATTCAGATAATTGGAGTATTCATCGTGCACCTTCGTCGACATTTAGCTTAAAATCGGCATGACTTATGTAGTCATTCGATGAACTCGTGTTTTCAATATATTGTGAAGTTTCTGATCAAGACAGATGGTAGTGGACTTTTCAGCAACAACTGCCAAAGATACGAAGACAATACGCACTATATAGAACCCACTGGTATATGTAAAAATGTGGGGTGTGGGTGTGGGTGTGGGTGGGTGTGGGTGTGGGTGGGTGTGGGTGTGGGTGTGAGTGGGTGTGGGTGTGGGTGGGTGTGGGTGTGAGTGGGTGTGTGGGTGTGGACGTGGATGTGGGTGTGGGTGTGGGTGGGTGTGGTTAAAAGGAACAGCCAAACCGACATTCACAGGTACAAGCACACCCATACCCTTACCCCCACACCCACCCACATCCGCACCTACACCCACACTCACACCCACACCCACACCCACGCCCACACCCATAAAACAAAAAAATTAAGAAGTCAGAAAATATTATTATATTGATACAAATTATTTCTCATCTGGACCCGATCAATAAAAACTCTTAGACATGGATTCGATAGGCTGTACCAACCAAAGAATCCCTGAAAGACACTATCTGGCAATTAGTCGCTGCTAGAAAAGTTATTTTCCGCGGTTCTCTTCAAGTTATGGCAATTATCCAATGCTGCAAAAGCCATTTTCGATGGATCTTTTAAAGATAGTAACAATGTTTCCTATCTGTTCATTTTTTCAGAGTAATTCTGCCCAAAAATCGTTCACTACTCAAAGCATTCTGGGTACGTCATTGCTTCCGACTAACTCATTTCAGGCTTTAATATAACTTTGGCTTAGCCCCAACGCTTCGATAACTTCTGAAGTCTATTTTTATTAGACCTTTCAATAAGTAACTATAAATTTCGGCATAAATCCTACACAAATCCTCAGTACACACATACATACATAGTCACACTAATGATGTGCTGAAATATTAATACAGTAGTGAAGCATCGGCAAAAAATATATTTTGGTAGCAGCTTGTTAATAATCTACTTCAGTGATATATTGGATTGTAGTTATATCTTTTAGTGAAATACGATCTAAAAGGAGTGTTAAAGCATATAGGGTACCAATTTGATCCCGTGCTCCCACCTATCAAACACACAAATCGTGATGGGCGCTAATCAGAGACTACTAAGGAGCATGACACAACTTGTAAATTTTGATAGCGGATCGTATATGTATTACAGGTGATTACAATTTTCTAATTAATTCCTTATTGTGTTTCTGAAGAATTATGTGGAATGAGGATGAAGATAAGAAGAACTACATTGTGTTTCATATTTTAATTCACCAAAAGATTGTGCTAACAGCTTTTGTTTTAGGTAGATGGGATTGTAGTGATGCATCAGATGAACAAAAACTGTTAACAATCAAAGAATTTTCGAAACATAATCTTAGAATATTGAATTTAGCTGAAATGCAACAAAAGTGTTTTTTACATTACAGAACTCAACCATTTTCAATGCTGTGTAATATATCAACAGAATATCCATGCTTATTAGCAAATGTAAGTAACCCATATAATTTCACTGAGAATCGTCCGTGTATAAAACTATCAAAAATTGGTGATGATGTTAGTGATTGTTATGGAGATTTAGATGAAAGAAATATTTTAGCAAATTGCTATGGCAGACAAAAAGGTTATGATTTCAATTGTCTAACGATTGAGAATAATCTATGTATTACAACTGCAAATTTATGTTATTCTACTAGATGTTTAAATGAAGAAGATTATACAATCTGTTCTTATTTAACCAAAGCCTGCCATGGAGATTTATATTTCAGTTGTATTAATCAAACTTGTTTGAAAGACGTCCGTTGCAATGGAAAAATTGATTGTGAATATGGCGAAGATGAATACTGGTGCCGTGAAGATATAGTCTATAGAAATGGTAAATTCTCTCACTTGCTTAATCTTGAAAAACTGAAACACTTATTATATTATCCGCCTTCCATACCTATTAACCAATCAATTTCTAATACAGTGAAAAATCAACAACATTCTAATTATAGTAGCATCCTAATAAAAAAAATATCTCAAATCTGTAACCGTGGTGTTGCTATTTTCCATTATATTACGCAAAAATGGATATGTTTTTGTCCGTCTAGCTATTACGGCCTATATTGTAATTTTTTTAGTGATCGTATTACTATCATCACACATTTAGAGTTAACTTATTATTCGATCAATGACAATACAACGATTATCAAAATAGTCATAAGTTTTTATTTTCATGAGCAACTACTTGATTTTCATCAATTTCATGTCACACCAACAGCTGAACGAGGGGATAATTATATTAAACATAAATTTTCTTTTCTTTATGCGAGAACTGATGCAATGATTAAAAATAAACAACGTCGTTACTTTAATCGAACTGACATTAAACAAAATCATCCATATTCAATTCGATTCGAAGCATATGAACTGACCAGAAATTTAACAGTAGAATTACTCAACGTCTGGCAATATCCAATTTATTTTGATTACTTACCAGCATTTCGTTTTGCTAAGGTATTACGTCTGAATCAAACGAATGACTCATGCGTCGATACTAATCGTTGTGGTAAAAATGGATTTTGTCATCGTTTAACAAATTCTAATGAAACATATTATTGTGCTTGTAAAAGTGGCTACTATGGTGTTTTCTGCGAGTACTTTGATGATCGGTGCTCATCGTTTTGCTCCGCTCTCTCTATATGCAAACCACAAAATTTTAATAAACAAGCTTTATGTATATGTCCATTGAATCATTTTGGTTCAACTTGTCATTTAAAATATAATCCATGCGATGAATTGCACTGTTTAAATAATGGTACATGTTTGACTGTTCATAATTATATTGATATATTTGAATATAAATGCTTATATCCAAGAAAATATTATGGAAAGAATTGTGAATTGGAGAAATTTGCCGTTCGCATACAATTTAATATCACTATGACAACAAAATTAAGTAACATTCGTGCAGCTTTAATACACTATTATGATTTAACTCCCAAAATATTTGATTTGATAATAAAAGAACAGCAACTATTTAATAAAATACCACAAATATCAACGTTCGATCATGATCAAACACTTTCGCCATTATTGAGTATAATTCGTTTATACAAAGAAGAATATGATCCATTTATGTATTTGTTATACATCAGAGAAAATGAAAAAATCATTAATATAACAATTGATTTGTCAAAAGAAAATTATTGTCCTCACACGCGTCTGTTATTTGAATTATCAAGTAAGTCCGTTAGATATACGGAATCTGCCTAACATGTTTTTTTAATTTTAGAATCTGAATTTAATTTAAGTATATCTGTTTCAAAATATCATCAGCTTTGTCAAAGTCGATCGATATTATGCTTTCATGATGATAATTATTTTTGCATATGTCAAGCAAATTTTTACCGTGCTGCATGTTTTCGATATGATTCAACAGCTGATCGATGTGCTCATTGTCTGTTACAGGGACGCTGTGTTCAGGGACAATTGAAAAGTGTCTCTGATTTTCTATGTGTTTGTTCTCGGTGTTATTACGATCATTTATGTCAATATAGTACAGAAGTATTTAGTTTCACCGTCGATTCTCTCATCGCCCACGATATCATTAGCAGCAGAAAAAAAATATCCATTAGCATTTACGTGCTTATATCATCACTTGCTTTTTTGCTTGGATTTGTTAATAATATATGTAGTTTTCTAACATTTAAACAACCAAAACCAAGAGAATATGCTGCTGGTAATTATTTATTAATATTATCTATTTTTAATCAATGTTCATTATTCATATTACTGGTAAAAATAATTCATACTGTACTCAATTTAAATGGTAATCTGTTCAATACTCTATTGAACTTGTACATGTGTAAAATTATTTCTTATTTATTGTCAGTACTGACTCGAATCAATTATTGGTTAACCAGTCTGATTACTATACATCGTCTAGGATTAGTTCTTTATCCAACAAAATTGTCAATTAAATCACCGAAATATGCTTTCATCTCGGCAACGATCGTTATTTTTGTATTATTTGTTTTTCACATACATGAATTATTTTTCTACAAGCTTATTGATGATCCAAAACAAATATCGGCTACACTATGTGTTCCAAACTATACGCCGTATCAATGGTCAGTGTACAATCGTTTCAACGTAATGTTTCATTATCTTGTACCTTGCACAATTCAAATAATTACCATTGTAGTTCTAATTATTGCTACTGCTCGTAATAAAGCCAAAATAAATACCAAACATACACAACAAAAATTAATAATGAACCAGTTGAATATTAATAAAGAATTATTTATAACTCCTATTATTATTCTTGCAAGTGCTTTACCGCAAGCTATTCTAGCCTTTACTTATGCATGTAAAGAATTAGTTGAACCGTGGCAACGTTATTCTCTTCTAACTACATATTTTCTGTCATATTCACCACAAGTACTTGGTTTTCTTTTGTTCGTGTTGCCATCAACAACGTATAAAGAAGAATTTTATAAAACAAAATTAGCACAGATACTATCTATAAAATGACATTTGAGATGTGTGTGAGTGTAGGTTTCCTCTTATTCGATGGTCATACCAACATCCCACTATTGTTCGAAATCGTTTTTTCCAAAACTAAAATAAATTAAATTTTCCTTCTCTCGAGATTTGAATCTTTGAAAGCTGCTTACGGTTGTTATCGTTTCATTCGAAAAATTAAAGTATCGCTAATTACTAGTTACGACACTTCTTACAAATAGTTACCATCAAAGATAGTCACATTCATGATGATTATTTGAAAAACGAAGATTTTTTGGAGTAAGAGGTGGACATGGGTGTGGGTATGTGCGTATGCGGGTGTATAAGCGTGAATGTGGATATGAGTGTCCACTCACACCCACACCCCACCATTTTCTTTTGAAGACTTATTATATCTATTATAAGTTGTTGAGATGAAAGAGACTTTGTTCAAATCGATTATTCCTTTTTGATTTAAATAAAAAAAAACAAAAAAAGAGACGTTTGATTATTGTTGAACTAAAGAAAAACGGAGGGAGATTAAAAAGAACAAGTCATATTTTACAAATGTCATAATTGTGAATCTCTTTCCAATGTATAATATTCACAATTAAGTTGCACGATTATATCATTAACAAAGGACTTTTTCAAATGCTAATCATCGATCAAACTTAGATTTTGTCCATAAGTAATATTTTATGAGACTAGAAAAACTCTAGAAAGGTTCGTTCTCGTATGTTATCCTTCTCGAATTATGACCATTTTATTGATAGTGGTGTGAGCAGAAAAATGTTATAGGGGAAGAGTTCAACCATTTGTCAAGAGGCTCAACGTCTTCTGAAGGAATGGAAGGAAATATCAAGTCTTGATCTCTAGACTTTATTTACTTGCACAACTATTTACTGGATTGCCTATTTCTAGCAAACCACATAGAATAATCGAAGTATAGAGGAATTTCTATATGAACATTTGTCTATATATATACATCGATTTTGTAATCACTAGATAGTTCTTTAAATTTCAGTTCAAAAGAATATTCGGTTCTTGAGATATGAAACATTGAAAGTACTTCATTTTCTCAGTTTTTGTTGTGACACTTGATTAATTTTTGAATATGTTATATTTCAAAAAAGAATACATTCTTCTAGACTAAAACGTTTCGAACTATCTCATGTCTATAAGATCAATCTATGAACAAAAATTCAAATGAACATTATGTAATTGGGTTATTTCATATATATCTTGCTAGAGACCGACAATTTAATAAAACGATCATAATTCGAGAATATTACCGTATAGAGACGAATCTTTTCATAGTTCTTCTATTCTCATGGACTCGTACTTATGAACAAAATCCGATAATACATTCGATGAAAAGATATAATCGTTTCCTTGAACAAGTTTTTCATGCATATCAGACGTTATTATAGCTACTCGAAAGTGTTACAGTAAATTAAACTTTGTTTTTTTTTTTGTTCATAGTAGCAAAAGACTTCGATAGAAGTAATTTATTTTGTAGTGTATGCTGTTTTTCAAGTGTATCTTTTTATCAAATGATTCAAGACTAATATTCGTTAATAGACATCAGATCAGATCGAGATCGAGATCAGTGCACTTTCATAAGAGAATCTCAAATCGGATAATAATGCTTGTATTGCTTTTTTGTGTAGACAATTTAGATCGTAAAAATATTAGTGTTAATGTTGAAAATTTCGTTTAACATTGAAATAATGCATTATTAAGTCATTCTTGTTCATCATTATTCAATATATTTAAACTATGTGACGGAATATCGAGTATTTCACATAAATCTTGAAAAAGCGCTGTAGTAACATCAACAGCTACAAATGTTGTTCTTCGAACATTATCAGTGCCTATTTTAGTCGATGCCTTTCTCACACTTTCGATTTGTAATTTCATTTGATGAAGACTTTTCATTAATTAATTTCGATGTTGTTCACTCAAATAATGATTTGATATTTTACAACGATGAATCTATAGAAAATAATTTCAAATGAATTAGTCTCAATTATTTAATGTCTATACTTGTTCATGACAGCCAAAATCTTTCAACAAACAGTTTACAATGATTTTTTCACATGTCGATATTTTACGTTCATTAAGGTTTTCAACTGAAATCGAATTGTTCATGATAATATTCTTATTTTGTATTTTAAGAAATTTGATCAAGATATTCATTTAGAAGAAAAGAATCTAACGTTCTGAAATAAGATGAACATAAGATATTATACTTGATAATTTTTTAGGATACCAATCCAATTACAAAAAGAACATTCAAATGGTAATGATTACATGCCCATTTTAAAACCTTGATTAATCATCATCTGAAACAACGAACATTTATATTCTACTGAAATAAAATGAGTATTTTACTGATTTAGTCTATTTTCGCCGAAAGTGACATTCGCCAAAACAAAGATCGCCGAATCATTTTATAACCGAATAAATCCAACTTATTCGTTTTCGGTGATAAATTCATTCGGCGATAATGGAATCGGCGAACTTCCTTTTCGGCGAATTGCGTTTTCGATGAAATTCATCTTCGGCGAAAATGGAATTTACCATGATATTTATTAGCTACAGCAATAAAGAACAAATAAGATATTGCCTGAATAAAATAGGAATAAACCACATCTGGCATAGTCAAGTAAGTAAAGTAGCCTTGCCATCGGTATGATATTGCACTAGTGTCCATTGTACAAAGATTAGCTAAATAAGATTGTTTGATTGAACAACGCAATAGAATATAGACTACACGCAAATATTTCCGATCAATAGATGAGTGACTGTATGTAATCGCTGATTCAACACTAACAAAGCCAAGATAAAGCCGACCATGACGATGTCGACGACGGCAAAACCAACCGAGATAGGTATAACGACAGAGAGATCGGTAGGATCATTTGGTAGAAGTGTTGTAGTAATGTTTGTCGAAGTCATTTTTTTGTCGATTGTTAGAGAAGCTATGAGAGTATGAAGCTAGTAGTACAATAATGTAGAATTGTCCAGAAAACAATATGCTTAATTTCTTCTAGCTCTGATTCAAAGAAAAAGAATAGTGTTTCGTATGTTTTAGGTAATCGTTACTGGAAAGCATAGATTGATTCCGATTCGCTCATCACTGTCAAACAGTAGAGAGAGAGAGAAAAGCGGATTGAAATAAAAGATCAGCGCATGGAGAACAGAAGTACTCTTGCCGAAGAAACGTCGACTTTTAAGTGGCCGATTACAGTGAAAATTTCCGACTTATCTGCTGTAGTGATTTACTGTATTTTTTCTACTTACTGACTTCGTCGCAAAAGAACTTTGTTTGTCTGTTCGAAGACTCAGTACCTGAAAAGTTTAGCATCACTATTTGAAGGCATCAGTGCGACTAAGTGTTTATTTTCATCGAATGACAAAAAACAAATTTTCTACATGAAAATTATATGCTATTTACAAATACCGATAAAGTTTAGTATGACAGACAAGTAAATAAAATGTATGTTTGACGCAAAGTGACGAACCATAATGTGATGCATTTTTTTTTCTTTTCCCTAGTTTTTCATTATGTGAAAAATCGCATTTTTCATTGATTCGATCTTCTCAAAAAGATGTAAAAACAGCAAGTGTGCATTCATTCTATGTTGAATGATACTTTCATCAAAAATATAGAAAAGAAAGTCCTGCGTCGATCGATAGAATATTTCTTAGACGATCGAAATCATGACTTTGTTGTTGAATTGGCGTGATAGATCCAGCAAGCGCACAGTTTATACTGCTTGTCACTTGCTGAAACATATATTTTACTTTCGAGAACGCTTAATTTCACGTAGATGATGGTGCTACATTACATAGTAATAGCATGACAATACTATAGTCAATTCAGCTTAAACAAAATACGAATGAAAGATGTCGTTAAATCAACTTGTTGATTTTACTTTATTAGAATAGTTTAACATCATATATAATTTCTATCAGTGAAATACTTTATGTATTGTAAACATTAGCGTTTCAAAATAAGTTTCATCCGACGTTGACTTGATACTGGATGTCCAGGTATGAGTACGTTTTCTCTTCACTCGCCGACATACATCCACACCTTTTTTAGAGCTTATGTCTGCTTCATGTATTCTTCAAGGGCGTTTGCCAATTCAATAAACTCTAAATTCGTATGCTTTATTAATCTACGCATTTTTTTTTACAGTGCACACCTCACCCACGCCTCAAATTCCTGACAACAAGCAATAAAAAGTCACAAGTTATTTTATTTATTAACGTTCAAATGGTTCATGATGAGTAAATATAATAGAATCTTTCACATAAGAAAATATAACAATACAAATACGAATCAAAAATGAAATACTACTTTCATCGAAACATGTTTGCCTGGAATTATTCTTGATCTAGTCGATGATGAGTCAGAAATAAGAATTTGTTCATTAGTCATTGTTGCTTTGAGAATACAACCATTTTTATTCGATTGTTGATCTTTTAGAGAAACCTAAATAAAACAAAAAACAAAAGTAACGATACTTCACTAGGATTCGAAGTTTTGTTTTTTCATACTTACATTTTTTTCAATTCGACAATTATCTTGTACGATATTTTGCTGCAATTGAATTTCTTCTACTGGTGGAGTTGGCCATTGTTCATTATCAGTTATTAAATATTGTTGCTTGAAAAAAAATGATTCAAAATTTTTCTAAGAAAATGTTTTAAACGAGAGACATACTATTACTTCATTGTTTGATTGACTCGAAACAGTTGTTATTGAAGAAAATGATGATGACAATAAACAATAAGAGTTATTTGATTTACTTGATCGTAATGATGATGATGACATTGTCGAACATGAAGAACAAGAACAAAGTGACATCTGTAAAATGCAAAAAAAAAAACGAAGCTTTATGGAAGAGAAGAAACCTCTTTGAATTTAGTCAACATAATGGTTGATTGACATGAAAGAAGTCTACGATTTTTACATTGTAGAAAAACAGAATTGTTAATTTATAAAATCGATACAAAAAATTTTAAAGAAATTCAATGGCATCGAAAGAACAAGAATTAAATTTGTCTGTATGGCATGATCGAGAAATTCGATTTGATGTTGCGGTGAAGTAATTTATATTTCATATTTATTCCTAATAATAAAATCATTTTTTCCAGTGATCTCAAATGTCGTCCAGGTGAATTTATTATTGATACACTCAGCTCAGTCGAAGATACAAAAGGAAATAATGGTGATAAAGGTAAATCAATGATTAGTTTTGTTCGAAAAATGAAATGAACAATCCAGATATAAGGTAATGATGCCATAATCCGTCATACAAAAAGCAACGATATGATGGATTACGGTGAAAATTAAGGTAGTAATTCACTATTTTCGATGATCAAAATAATCGCCCTAAGAAGATCAGTTTAATTTTTCTTTGAAAAGAAACTGATTAATCTTCACAACAAAACTAAAGAGAAGTAAATATAATCTCAATAGCTAGCAACCTACAATTTTTCGACAATCGTCTTCTCACATTTCAATATTAAGCAAACAAAAATCATACAGATTTCTGTTGATTTTTAAAGAAGTTTCTAACTTTTTATGAAAGTTTTCATAATTGGTTTTGAATTGTTTGCGAAGATGATAGATTTTTAAATCGTTTTATCTTATATCGTATTAGACAAAAAAAACAACATCAGATGTTCTTGTCTTTCGATTACCGAAAACTGTAGATCATTAATTGTTACCGTTGTCGAGTTCTTGAGTTTACATCCATTTCTATTTACTTCTAGCGCAGAAATTAGACAATTCTTATTTCATCTAGGAAAACTTACTATAACCAATATTCGTCTAATTTGGCATAGCCATGCATCACCACGTGTTAATCTTTGTACGTAAATGGATAATTACAAAACAAAATTTCTTCATATAGTTTTCCTTTTCTCTTTTAAGCTATTGGTCTTTATGCGATTGTAACAATTACTGTGCGAAATGCGAAATCTGTATTACTAATTAATATTTGATTTTCTTATTTATAATCGTGTTGTTTTTTTTTTCGAATAGAAACTTCGTGGTAGTACAGAATCATTATATCTTCTAACAAAATCTGGTCAATCTCGTTATGAATTTATATTTACTAATCTTTTATCTGGCTCAAGTGCAATGCTTAATTCAGTTGTTGCTGTTCATAAAGCATATGATTCATCACGTCTTTATCGTGAAATTCGTCTTCGTTCATCATTACTTAATAAAGGTCAATTACGTATTTTACCTAAAGAACGTTTACATAATCGATATAATGGCGTTTGGAATCTTTCATCTGATCAAGTATTTCTTTGAAGTTTCTTTTATTATTTTTTTTTTGTTGGCATTAGAAAAATCTGAGTCTTTGTTTTTTTTTTTTTGTTAATTTAAGGGTAATCTTGGCATTTTCCATATAACAGATATTCGTGTTATATGGCATGCAGAATTAAATGAAAATTTTAATGTTAGTGTACCATATTATCAAACAAAAAGTATTAAAGTTCGAGATTCAAAATTTGGTTTAGCACTTGTTATTGAAACAACACCATATGTAAGTAAATTTCTTGAAGTTATTTTTTCAAAAGAAAAATTTTTGTTTTTTCTAGAGTGGAAATTATTTACTTGGATTTCAATTAGCACCTGAAGAAAAACTTCGAGAAGTTCATAAAGAAATTGTTGCACTTCATAAGACGTAATTAGACGAATGATCTCATTTGAATTTTAATGAAGAAAAAAAAAAATCTAACTGATTTCTTTAGTTATTTTGCAAATCCAGAATTTGGTGTACAATTTTCAATAGAAGAACAACAACCTGATCAACCAACAACACGTTTAGAAAGTAAAGTTGATGATATTGAAATATTACAAAGTCGAGAACATACAGATTCATATGCAGTAATGTTTTATTTTTAATTCAATTTAAAAATAAATCGTTTTCGTTTTCTTTTTTGTTGTGTTAGACTTATTTGACGGATGCTGGTAAACATGATCATGAACCTGTTTATTCCGAAGAACTTGGTTTAGCTATTGAGAAATTACCACAAGGTTATACATTGGCTAGTCTTTGGGATATTCTTAGTTGAATATGAAAATTTATTTTCTTATCAAAGTGAACATATAATGTAAAGCTTTATTGATTTTAATTCTTTTTTTGTATTGATTGACATAGAAAATCGATTTATGCCAAAACAATATTGTAAACGATTGAGAATTTTCGAATCAATCTAATTCATTTGGCGGCTAACAAAAATTATTTAGATCGGTAAAAAACAACTGGATTTGTCAGATCATTTTTGATCAGTTAACAGTTCTTTCGCTAAAAACAATTTTTTCTTACTAAGGTTTTTACAAACTTATAAGAGAAAATTCTATGTTACAAGCATTTGTATCTGTAGAATTTCGCAAACATTAATATTTTTCTGGTATGACAAAATAATCAGTTATTAGGTGTTGGATTATCAAACGAAACGTCCAATGTATTTCTCTAAATGATTGTCGAAACGTAAATCTAATCTCTATCTCAACGAATCTTAATTAAATGCAATCTTTTTTTTCTAAATTCAAAAATAATTATTATGTTTTATGGTATCTGCTCCATTTTTTTAATAACTAAACGAAATCACTATTTATCTAATGATCATGATGAAAAGTAGATAATATGAGATATGACTCATTTCTTGCTTCTTTGTGATACGTCAACGACCACTCTGACGTGGGTACGATTACAGCTAGTCGAAAGTGCTCATTACTAAAATGTTTTCAGTTTCTAATTTGTAACCTATAAATATTCAGCTGCAGCCGAAAAGTGGCTGCATAATGTCAGAAGGTCAATCAACACATGTTAACATGATTTCATGTTACTACTATCCGTTTCAAAATAGAATGCACCTGACTGTAAATTGAATAACTTTTGATAGGAACTAGATAGAGACTTGCGGTTTTCACCATTCGAAAGAGGACATTCAGGGCTACAAAAGTATGTGAAAATTGATTGGTCTGACAATTGACCAATAAGATAAATTTTTGCTAGACATTTTGAACACGAAATAGGGAAAGTATTTTCCATTTGATTTTTACTTTTTATATAATCGTTCGATAGAAAACATTGTTCTCTTTCGATCTACACAAGGCCGAGATCTCTAGCTTGTTCTGTTAAAGAGTTATAAGAGTTTTCCTGAGACCCCCGATTTCNGGCCGAGATCTCTAGCTTGTTCTGTTAAAGAGTTATAAGAGTTTTCCTGAGACCCCCGATTTCGGCCATTTGGCCTTGGGTTACCTTGGAAGAGGTCAATATAGGGGTAATTCACCACGCTGAGTCTAGTGGTAATGTTTGTTTTCAGTTTTCAACTCATCTAAAACCATAATATCAAAAATTTCGAAGGTTCTAGTTTTTGTGCTATATTGCGTAAAAAGCGGGATATACCGAAAAATTGGCATAGTGCTTTTAGATAAGTTGAAAACTGAAAACAAACATTACCACTAGACTCAGCGTGGGGAATTACCCCTATATTGACCTCTTCCAAGGTCACACAAGGCCAAATGGCCGAAGTCGGGGGTCTCAGACAAACTCTTATAACCCTCTAACAGAAACAAGCTAGAGATCTAGGCCTTGTGTAGATCGAAAGAGAAGAATGTTTTCTATCGAACGATTACATAAAAAGTAAAAATCAAATGGAAAATACTTTCCCTATTTTGTGTTCAAAATGTCTAGCAAAAATTTATCTTATTGGTCAATTGTCAGACCAATCAATTTTCACATACTTTTGTAGCCCTGAATGTCCTTTTTCGAATGGTGAAAACCGCAGGTCTCTATCTAGTTTCTATCAAAAGTTATTCAATTTACAGTCAGGTGCATTCTATTTTGAAACGGATAGTAGTTCTTAACATCAAACCACTGTCGTGTAACACCAAGCACTATTGTTGGTTTATTCTTTTAAATATGCACAGTAAGTCCATCTGTTTTTCATGTGGTCTATGATTGTTTATCATAACACAATACATATAACAACATTTTTTTTCTTGCTCTGCACGCGATTGACAGAACATATGTTGTTTGCATTACAAAAGATGTTATTGCTTATGGAACCATAAACTAAGCACTGATTGTTCAGAATAAGAAGGTACTCACACAGCGAAATTTTATTGTATTTAAATTATTCATCAGCGATGCATAAAGCAGCTTGAATATTGTTACTACTGAATCAATCATTTGATGCGAATAGAATAATTAATCTATCTATTACGAGCTCAAACAAGACTTCATAAATCATCATCAATCATATTTAAACTATATGGGAATATCTGAAGGAAAAAAAGATGAAATCTTTTTGTTTGTATTTACAAATCTTGTTTTGTTAACATGCAGAAAACAGAAGAAAAGCAATATATAAGTACTCTCTTTTTCTTAATTAACTAAAATGTTTATGTAGTATCTATAGTTTTATGATATCTTCATGAACGATCATTTCGTGAACGAGTATCCGATATTGCCGGTGATCGAGATCGATAATGATGTCGTCGTCGATCATCATGAGATGAACTTCGTCGTCGATAGTCATGATGATGATGTTTATGTGATCTATATTGATCTGAACTGTCATGTCGATATCGATCAGGTGAACGTGATCGTGAACGATCATCACGAGATGACCTAGAAAAATTAAATAAAAACAAAATAAATTTTATTTCTCATAAATTCTAGTTTTATTTTTACTGATATTTTTTATTTCGATGAGAATTTGATGATGAATGATGATGATTATAACCATTACGATCAGTTGAGGATGATGAAGCTACATTACCGAATGTTTCAGGCATATCAATCGCATTTGATGATGTAAAAATTTTTTCTCCGGCATCATCGTCATAACTGTATGAAATGAAAACAGAAGGAAAAAAAAATTACACGATTATTAATATAGAAATAAATAATTATTCTTTCTTACTTTCCCGACTCACGTACCTTGAATATGCACCATAATTATTATGTTTATATGGTCCATGTTCATGTAATCTTTCCGTGATTTCTTTTTGAGTTGGAACCGGTATACGAGGAAATAACGTGTCAAACCATCTAGAAAGCACTATCGTTATTCAAAAAGACAATTTCAAAATAAAATGCACATACTCAATTTGTATTAACCATTGACGAAGCATTTGACCTATTGACATAATACAACCACCACCAGCTTTTACATCTAATGTCTAATCAACAACAACAAAAATTCATTATAGTAGGTTTTCCTTTACTAGAATTTACTCACTTACTTCTGGATCATCAAGATATTCTTCAAACCATTCAAATAGTTCATTCGGTGGTTGAGTATATCTTTAAAAAAAGAACAAAAAAATTCAATTTTTGTGATCAAAATAAAAATATAATTCTTAACATACCGAATATACATAAAACCAAGTCCACGAATATATGGTGAATCTGTATGAATAGTTAAACTAATTACTTGTTTTCTTGTTAATTTTAGTGTATATAATTTGTACAATATACAATATGCTGTTGATACAATACCACCTCCACCAACACCACGTACCTAAATATTAACATTTTATAAACTAAAACAATTTCGTATAAATAATTTCACTGCATTATAAATCAAAACTCAATTAAAATATTATATGTATAGATTAATTTTTCTCCTGTTAATGATTATTCGAATCTCAAGAGTTCGTAGAAAGAAATGACTCAATTTGAAATTATCTATGATTAAAAGAATTGATTTTCACCATTTTTTCGATAAACAAAAAAAAAAAAAAAAGATTTGAACGATTAACAAAAATTGTTTAATTCTTTGGAAATCTTCAATGAAACATTGTTAAGAGATCAGCCACTAGTCTTACTGCAATAGAATAAGTCTTATTAAAACTATGTCGTGTTTCCTTTGAGATAATCTTTAAAATTGATTTTCTAATATCTTCAAATATCAATATTGAAAATTCTTCTTTGCAATTAGGTAAACTTTGTTTGTTATATTTGAAGACGAAAGATATAATATCTTCATTCGACTCTCTACAAATGTACATAAAATGATTCAGTATAAAAACTATTATTAACAGATTGAGATAATAATGTACTGTGTAAGTTTCTTTTTTCATCTTCTTAGCTGTTCAACATGTAACATACAAATTTAATCAATCATTGACAAGCTCTTTCTGAATATTAAATTACATTTCTTTTGAAATTTTAAAACTCATTTGTTTGTTTGTCAAGTGAACGCACTAGTCTGATACGATATTCAAGATTTAGAAGAAAAGTTTCGGCATGCGTAAATTGCAACAACATTAACTGATGGTGATAAAAAAAAATGTATATATTGAAAACGAGAGTGACTACTCGTATATGTAATCGAAGAGAGCCACCTTATGCAAAAAATTCATCATTTCAGCATTATCCAGTCTTCTGTGCAGAATATTTGACTTTTAACTTCTATATTGAATCGTTTGATATACCTTTTACAAAACTCGAACTTGGAAATAGTCTGACAATGATTATATAGTATTTCGTCAAAAAACTAAATCTATGGGTACGAATCATTTAAGATTTTCTCTAATTTCAATAGAGCCTATCTAATGAAGTAAGACTCATCTGAAAATTGATTTATTATTGGACAAGATTTCTTCATCAATGATATCGTTCATTAATGTTGAATTCATTATATATGAAAAAGAAAATATATCTACATACTCCTCCACACATGCCAGTTAATCCAGATGTTTTTCGACTTCCTCTTTCCCATGGTTCCAAATGTTTAACCTAAATAAAATATAAATTCATAAAGAAAACTTAACAAATCAATTCATAAAATTTTACTTGATAATAAATTTCATCAACAACTTCATGATAAGTTTTTTTTTCATATAAATTAACTTTAAAATATTGTGATGCCAGAATATTATTAAGTACAAGTGAATTTAAATTCATTGATTCTTTATTTCCCCATATCGAAAGAACATTTGAATCTTTAGACATATTGTTTTCTTTCGTTTTGTTTTTATAAAATCTGAAATTCCAAAAAAAGAAAAAACAAAATAAATGATATAAAAAATAAATTATTCACCATTAGAAAACGAGAAGGTTATATATAAGCAACAATTCTGTGTAGCACAAGATAGATCTATCCATAGAAAGAAATATAAATGAAAATATAATAGACAATAGTATCACACTATATTAAGGCTTATGTTCAAAAGTTGATCTTAAACCAGATGCATTTAGATTCTCTGGCATATTCAATAAACAAAAGTCAATAATAGCTCATTTGGTAATCGGAAATTCTTTATGGAATCTCATTCTATAGATTTAATTGTTTTGTTCTTAATTTCAAAGAGCATGTCAAACTGCAGTACCTTTTCTTCTTAAATCCTTACTTTTTATGTTGAGAAAAAAAAATGACAAGTTCAATACACCCCGAAAATAGTCATGTAATTATAGAAGTACTTTTTTATATAATAATAAGAAGGACAGGTTCTGCAGCTTTACATACTCTTTCAAACAAAAAATAAATAATTAACTACAATGAAGCTTCTTCGAGAATTCTAGAAAAGCATATACTCCAAGTAAAAAATAATAAAAAAAGCTTATGTCGTTTATGAGAGATCAGACGTCGAACTATCTTCCCATACGTTTTATCTCAATTTTGATTTTTCTGACAAACATTGACTATTTCTAAACGGGGGGGGGGGGGGGGGGGGAAAATAAAAGGGGAGCCTCTTTCTTTTTTTTTTTAAAAATATTTTTTTGAAGAAAATATGGCAGTAGTTTTTGAGACAAAAAANTAATTAATAATCAAACATGTTTCAATTAGATGTTCTTATTGATACATCTGTATTACCACCAAATGTCATGTCATTACGTGATGATAAATTTATTGACTTCGTTAAAGAAGAAGCCGGTCGTGCTGCTGCTACTCTACTTGAAGTACAAGATATTAATTGTGCCAAGTCATTGCTGATGACAGATAATGTTTTCTCTATTATGGACTTGAAGAGTAACAGTTTAAATGATTTTAAACACAAATATGGTTATATGCAAGACGATGGTACATTTGTTATACAACCTGGAATAAAAGGAAATGTACAATACCTTATTGATTTGTTAAAGAAAAAATGTATTGATGACGCAAAATTAGCTAAATTATCCAAACGTAATCAATTATTATCATCACTAGATAAAACCATAGATACATCATCAACAATAACAAAAGCAACGTCGCCTGTTCCATCCAATAGTTCATCAGAAATAATAACATCAAAATCTTCTAATTTATCAATTAATGGACATAAAACATATCTAATTGATACATTGAATAGCTGGTGCGAAAAAAATAAATCAAAATTTGATTTATCACAATTATCTTTAGTTGAAGGTCAACATTATTTTATTTCGATATTTGATGATCTAAGTGGTGCATTAAAAGGTAATATAAAATGCTGTTGTAAAAAATCGTTATCATTGACACTTTTCCGTGGTAAATTTCAACTGTCGAACTTCTACAGACATTTACAAGACTTTCGTAATGGTAATACATGTAATACAATAAAAGAAATAATAAAAATTCATCAATTAACGTCATCAACAACAGCAGATAATCAACAATCATTTGCAATTCCAAATACTGTGCTATATCAAGGATCATCATCACTGAATTTTGTACCTTCCGCATCAGTATCAGTCACAATCCCATCAAACTCAACATTTTCTACATCATCATCTATCTCAATATCAACAGATGATCATGAAAGTATTGAAAAATCGTCATCATCATCATTAAAAACTAAAAGAAAAGTAAAAAGAAAGTTTAACTCAATAGAATCTTCATATAATACGAGAAAAGAAGCAAAAAGAATGAGAAGAGAATAAGATTTACATACACAACACCATCTTGTTTATACTTCTCGTATTATTTCTTTGCTCGTATCACATTCAGAAACATTTTTTATCAAGTCTTTTTTTACTTACTAATTCACCTATTGTTTTCTTAAAATTTTATCTTTTACGTAATTAATTGTTTTCATATCTATATACTCGTTTTTTTAATTGTTTTTACATTTTATCGATCATTTTTAAGCAAATACACGAAATGCTGATAGTAATAAAAGAAACTTTTTTCTTTGAGTGAACGGTTATTAAATAACATTTGCATAGTCTCCGCGAAAGGCCACATGTCTTATCACTAAAATCATAATTGTTCTTTGTTTTTTAATAGATTATCTCAGAAAGCAGCAGATTTTACAATAGCATGAACATCAGAACTCAGAGAAGGACGAAGTCCAATGAAGTCCTGAAGTCCGCTGTTTCCCCCTTGTCTTCTTGCCATGAAAATAAGCAAATGATGTTATTATAAGATTGTCATACATATAGTTTTAAGTAGTCATATATATTTTTTGATAATGTTGAGGTAATGTCAAATTTATCAAGTGTTTGTTTCCTTTTTGAAAAATAATTTGGAATACGTCTTAGTAATTTTGTTTGCCAATTGTTATTAAAATCTTTATATCCAATCCATAGATGTTTATCATCATAAACGATTATAAGGGATTAATTTGTAGCAATGAAGATTTCTGAATTTTGTGAAACATTTGAAGGTCTTGATAAAATTTTATCTTGCCATAGTTGTTGTTCATCATTCCAATGAATGATAATTATCTGTTGTTATGGATTGACGATAATTAAAACATTGTCAACACATTGTATTTTGAAGTCTGATATTGAATGTTGTTTGGATTCAAGAAGCTATGCGTCACGTAAGCACCGGTGGTATAAAAGTAATGCAAATGTATTTTCATCTTTTTTCACAATAAATCCGAAATAATCTTGACGAGCAAAAGCTCGATACATGCATACTTCTGAAATTTGCGGTAAATTCATAAGAGGAGCTTTATTAGTTTGTAAGATTTTGAAATTCAAAGTTCTCACATAGATTTCACTTAATATTAAATAATTGGGTGCAATTGTAACTTGAAATTGTTCTTTGACAACATATTCTCCTGAATAGGAATCAAACGAATGTCTTATGTGTTCAAGTTTGTTTATATGATAGATAAAATTGAATTTTTCTCCACTTGGCAAACGTACTTGATCTAATTGTGTAGAATTATCAACATTTTTATAAGAAAATTTCAGTACAGGCTCTGGACATGTGTCTTCAAGTTGCGAAAATGCGATTAGTTGTCAAGTTTTATTTTGAATTTGATATTTAAATTCAATTGTTTGAATATTTACGCAAGTTGTTAATTAATAGTTTTTAAATGATGAGCAAATATTGGAGAGAGTACTATATTACCATAGATATCATTCAAAATAGGTTCTTCATATTCTTCTAAGGATTTGTTTTCATAATTCAGTTGAACAATATTGTTATAACTATCCGAAATTGACTTAACATACATCGATTGTGTAAATGACTGATTACCTACTCGATGGGTGTCGGTGTGGGTAATGTCTTTGAGTCACCCACACCCGCAGCTCCTATGGAGATGAAATGTGGAACTCACGTACATCGTTCAAACTTCTTATTTTAATACATCATTTGTAAACTGAAAAATAGTTTTTTTTTCAAATAATTATGAAAACATTGAAATATAGTATAGCAGTCGAGCTCATATTCTTCATACTGTTCAAGTAGCTTTTTTTTTATTATGAACTAAATCTGAAGCCTATTGTGCGCGGTTGCTGAGGTCTATAATGGTAGCCTGCCGGTAATGGGGGCTTACGTTGCTATGTGCCTGTAATGGGAAGTGAAAGCCGCAAAAACTTGAACTTAAAACTTACACTCACTATTTTCTCCCAGATCCAACAAAATGGTGTCGTAAACGGCCTTAAACGGCGTATTAACGACGTACAACGGCGAAAAATGGCGCCGTAATCCTTCATACCAGATTACGAAAGCAAAATCGGTGGAAAACGATGGGCGTTTTCTAGCGAGAAAAATGGCTCGTAATACGGTATGACGGGACACGGCGATATAAGACCAAAATTAATGCAGTAATTCGCCGTTTTATAGCCGTTTCAGGCCGGATAAGACGCCGTTTTCAACGATCGGAATGATCGACCTGGGCTTCGAAAATATACGTGAGTTCCACAAAAAATTTATCTGTATATTAAATACAAAAGACCACGACATATTCTATTGTAATGTGTATGGTTCTGTAGTCGTACTTCGACTTTATATACACGTCGATTGGTGCAGCGAGCGAGAGAAAGACCAATTTCTTTTTGATCGTACAGCTAGGGTGTCAGATTTCGCTTGTTCTTGCATAGTGAGAGAGAAACACATTTATTTTTCTCTCGTAGAGACGAAGAGAGGAATTGGTTGTTTTTTTTCTCGACAGACCTGTATATTGTCAACATCATTGAGAAAAATCATCAGCATCGTTTGATAATAATATGTCGTCATACTCTTGAAACCCCGAATCGTAGATACATTAGAACAGTCTCAATCGTCTTGCTTTGCTCTCTTGCAATTGTCGATAATCCAATAGACGTTTGATCAACAAGTATGTATTTGACATCTTAGTTTAGCCACTAGACGTTTCTTTACGAATGTACGAAGCAACAAGCGTGTCTATTATTAGCTATCTCAAAGACAAAGGTGGGAGAGAAAAAAATATCTTGACGTTATCTCTGTTAACCAAGATAGAAAATATGTCAATTGGTCTCAAGAAAGTGCTAGCGCAGAAAGTATATGATGAAAGATGCAAAACATTGATAACTTACACTATGAATATAAAGGCGTAACTCACGGATGACATTAAAAAAAGAAGGTGCGCGTGGACAACAAGAAATCCGCACTCAAGATTCATGCAAAAACCGTATCCCACATCGTCATCTCTACAACTTAACCATCAAAACTTATTTTAATCTAAGTATAAGGTTTAACCATATGGTCTTGTATGAACATAGAAGATTGTAGGATTATATTTCACTATATTTCTGCACTCTTGTAGAATAATCTACGTAGGCTAAAGCCCACTTCTGAATAATAGATTGAAGGGTCTAGTTTCAACTTTTTTTACATCGAAATCGTGCTTTCTGACATGATGAGTATGCGTATATAAACAATATTTGAAGCTGATATTCGATGCAAATCATCTGTTTGTATCACATTCTCGAGACGAATCTAATGATTTAGAAACTCATATATCTATCTTATTTACTGATTGATATGTCTCCCTCGCAAGTATTACACAATCATCGCACATCTTTTGTCATCCAATATAATCATATCCAATGATTGATTTTTCGGATATGTTTCATAATTGTATCTTTTTCAATATTCTTAAATAAAAGATTTTATTTTTGAATCGAATACATTAGGGGTAAAAGATTTTTCAAGCCTTTTAAAAAAATGCCCAAAATTTCAGCCACTCGTCAACACACATACTCAATGGAAGCTCCAGTGTCCGTTGAGGAAAAGAGGAAAATATGAGAATCGCGGGTTATTTTTTTCTGTACTTTTTACTCATATATTTATGAACGTTGGGATAAATATTTCGCTCGATATAAGTGTCGTTGACGGTCGAATTTTGAAAGTATTGACGAATTTGTGTTGAACTGATATCGACGAGTTTGGTACGTTCTTTTGTTAACGGAATGTAGATGACATCTAATGTTTTTACTGAACGAGTAATCTGCTGTTCGTCGTAGCCCACACGGTAGACAACAGCAACAGACATATTCTTTTGCGTTGCCATGGTTTGAACATAAGGACATCTGTTAAAATGATCCAATCCGCAAACATATACTAAACGCAATGGATATTTCAGAATCTTGTTTTGATCGACAAGTGTGCTATTTAGAAAGTCTCGTAGATATTCAGTAACAGGACCAAAGTCAACAAATCCGTTAACCCATTCACTTTCACCTCGAGAAACGCCAATCCAAGATGACACTGCTGAACCTTCATACTCGATAGCTTTTTCACAAAGTCGACATCGATCTGCAGCTGGAATCCATGCAGGATCGCCCAATTTGGAATGTACATACGAATCACTTTAATAAATAGGTATTATATATACGTCTATTGAAAGAGAAACAAATTAGAAACTACATACTGTGTCGGTGAGAGATATCCTGCGAGAACGTTCCATGAAGGTTGATGTTCATGTTCAAAAAATTCTTTGACATGTAGAAGGTTTCGAAAATGTAATGGATGAATAGGATTGAAAGAACCAGTAGTGAATAAAACACAACTACACAAACAGTAACAAGCGTAAAATTGAATACTGAAGATGCAGTGTTTCTTTTGAAGGGGGAGGGGCAGGACAAAGGCTAAAACTTTGTGACACAAAATAGTGATTTAAGATATTATACTTGTGTATTGAATGTGCTCTAGAATAATGGCCTATATGATTTTATGGTTCAGTAGATAAACAACAAAGTATAGCTATAAAAATCCTTTAAGTAGATGACTAATATCGCCATCCACAACTCTGAATCTCTCTATATATCCATATCTTCTATCAGCACTTTTGAAATCTTTTCTGTATGCTACCATATTTATATCTATATCAGATATTACTAAGCACCATCAGATCACTAAAAAAAGTCACTGCACTTCATGACGCTCAAAATTAAATTACTATATGCACAAAAACTATTTTAAATCGTAGGCGATGAAATAGGGCGAGTAAGGCATTTGAGTTCTACAACTTTGTAAATTCAATACTAAATGTTTTTTTCATTTCAGTAGAAACACACGAAAACCTCGTGTGAACTCTTCCATTTGAAAACCCATTCCTCCTTACTGATTCAGATCTGATATTGCTTCGACTGAAAAAACACCTTTTGTTTTTACAATTGTGTTTTATGTTCTATTTTCACTTTAGTTACAAAGTCTCTTCCACCTTTTCCACACGAATACTCACTTATGACGATTATTGGCCAAATTTCGATTTGTGCAATTTCTTATCAGAATGTTAATGTCTATATTATTGACGTTGTGCATCATCTGACTGTTCGTGTTGATGAAAGTTTTTGAATGCTCACCACCGATCGCACCTTGATACGCTTCTGCACTAGCAGTGGTTGATTTATACGGGTTTTTATTATCTTCTACAATCATTCAAAGATAGAAAGTAAGAAAGGATTGATACATTTGGAATGGGAAAAGCATGTGGCTGTGAGTGTGGATAAAGGGAACACCCACATCCTTTCTTATACCTTTGTACTATGTTTATGAGGTCTATACATGTCTTCAACTTACTTGAATGCGTTGAGCTTCGAAATTTGTTGTTGTGGTTTGAATCTTCAGCGTGTAATTGCTGTGATGATGTCGGTCTTCGGTCAAAATTTACGAAATTCCGTAAATCACTAGTTTTCGTAGACACTGAAACCGATTGTCGTTGTATTGAGTTTAATTCTGATTGAAGGATTTGTTCTGCTGTTTTTTTATCACTAGTAAAAATCAAACATTTATTACTGAAACCCATCTGTCGTATTGCTTTGATTAATCGTGCACCTGCATTATGAGCAGGTATTTCATTTGTACGATTCATATCAGTTACAATACGGAATGCATCCTGATTTTTCAAACGCTGTCCAAATGCGGATCGTAAAAAGGACAGAGCACTATCAGTGGACGATTTCGGAATAAAATGCACGTTTATATCAAGTGCATTGATTGCTGCGTATTCCATGTGTTGTTTATTCTCCCAATTTTCATCAAATATGCGGTCGTCCACCCACAACACTGACCATGTGCATAAACCCAGTTCGACTTGTCGCATGTAGATTACTTGTTTTCCCTCTTTATAATATGTTTTGCGGTTGAAAACAAGAAAGGTAGAATGGGGCAGAAATAAAACTTCATCTTCTTCCGGATAGTTAGAAAATTTTTTGATGGGACGACCAGTTAACGAGAAGATTTTAAAAAGTACATTTCGATCTTTAAAAGCATTCGAATTAACTGCTTTTTTACCTTTTTTTGAACTACTAAACTGAATCCAAGTGATTAAAGCGCCAGGTACGTACAGTTTCAATTCATCGAATGTAAGCTGACAGGCTCGAGTAACATATCCCCAGTAAAAAGGGATGTATGAAAGTGCTTTCACCAAATAATAAAGAATGATAGCTGCTTCGTTTATTTCGTTTTCTACATCTTTTCCAAGGACTTCCCCATTACTTTTGCGAGCAACAAGACTGGCACCACGATTACATGCTTCACTCTTCGAACCTGTATAGAAGGAAATGGCGAATGCCAAAGCTTTGGCTTCATCAGGTGGCACTTTTTTTTCACAAAAGTACGAATATGACAAATTCGCACGATTCTCATGTTCGCCCATCACTGTATCCACGTTAACTCCTTCGCGATGTTCGTATATACGACATACCTTTTTAAGTTTCTCGAATGATGATTGTGTTTGCATCATAGTAGTCAGAGAAGAATTAAAATTATCTTCATAGACGAAATGGCTTCTACGCTGACTTTCAAGCTGTTCAGTTTTTCCTGTTAATTTGATATGCTCCAAAATTGATTCAACCTTTTCGGATTTCAATACTGCATATTCTGCTTGATTTTCATCTTCTTCTTTCGTCGACGATATTCCTTGTGATTCACTCATTTCCAACAACATATTCATATGTTCTTGACTCTTCAAATGACCAACCATGATCATATAACAGTCGTGGGGTAAACGATCCCCTGGATCAGCTGACGCTACAGTATAAGTACATAGGTCTTTGAGTATGTCTTTCGTTGATCGTGATGACGAGCTTGCATCGGGTGACGAACTTGATTCTCGTGACATTTTTGTACTTGTACACTACAATATCAAATGTTCATGATCAATCATGTTTATGAGTGGACATGGACTTGGGTGTGGGGGTAGATGTGAGATTGGGGGTGCGATGTAGGGGGTGGATCTTCTGCTTTCTCACATATCCATACATCTGCTCATTACAGATTTTAGCAATCGAGAATAACATGTATCAGACTTTCTAGAGTTTTTTTTTGCAAAACTGATCAAGTTATCGGTTTGCAAAAATAGTGATTAGCATTGTTTGTGAGTTGATTAATATATACAATAATGCATGAGAGTAGCTACAGATATCATTGATATGTAAAATAGACTTATTTGTCAATTAATTAATTGATGTTAATGAAAAGAATCTTAAACTATGAGAATCGTATTTAAAAATATTAAAAATAATGAGCTTAAAGCCATAATGCAAACACAAATAGGATATCCATAGCAAAAAATTAAAAGTTTCTGTTTGAAATGTAGAAATTATACAAATTATTACTCTGATGTTCGGTTATCCTGCAAAAGGATTATAGCCGCCAGAGCTTTTCCACTTTAGGCACTGGGTGTTCCAAAAGTCATGATCATTTAACAAATGCATATAATTTCTTTACTGATCAACTTTTGTCGAACAATTTTTTTATCTGATAGAAAAGAGTAGTAAGTTTTCTTTTTTAAAGACGAAGCTCATAAATAACCTATAAAGGCCATCACTTCTGGTTGCAATACAAAAAGTTCTCATTTTTCAATGCCAGAAAATAATATACAACTTTTTCATATATTTAACTTAATTTCTATGGTTATTATGAATTTTAAATCATCAATATCTCTCACCGTTCCTTTATTAGCATTTGTTTTCGTATAATATAACGAAAAAAATGCAACTAAGTCAATTTCAATGACATCAAGAGTGATGATTTTGTCCAATATCCTCACTTCACTGACTATCGAGCTTTTTGCTATGTTAGGAACAATCTACTTTCGAAAATTGTTCTAGTCAGCTGATCTTTTAAAAAAGTGTCCAAGAAAATGCCAATAAAGGAATGGTGAGACATTTTGATGATTTAAAATTCATAATAACCATAGAAATTGAGATAAATATATGAAAAAGTTGAATATTATTTTCTGGCATTGAAAAAATGAGAACTTTTTGTATTTCATCCAGCAGTGATAGCCTTTATAGGTTAATTATGACTTTCATCTTTAAAAAAGAAAACTTACTACTGTCCTCTCTTAGATAGAAATAAATTATTGGACAAAGCTTGATCAGTAAAGAAATTACATGCATTTGTTAAAAGATCATGAATTTTGGGACACCCGGTAGTCCCACATCTCAGCTCCAAAAGAGGACTGCACCAGCAAGCCTTTTCTTAATACATAGGTAAAGCTATCACTAGACTCGAGTATTTCCACCCCGAATTCGCCGAGGAGTTTGTTACAACTGTCGTATTCTTGTTTCAAGTAGCACTTTATGAGCTCTATCCATTGGTATAATCTCATTTTCCATAGCTAAAACAGATCGCCTGAGAAATCGATTTTTCCATTGTATCACATAACACTGAAATGTAGCCGCACTCGTATTCATCTAGGAACTTGTTCCAAAACTCATATTCTTGTTCTAAGTCGAATTCGTTGAGCTCTATCGATCGGTACAGTTAGATTTTCTATAACTCAAACAGATCGCCTGAAAAATCGGTTTTTCCATTTTTTGCCCTTGGTATCAGATTAGCCTGAAAAGTAATTCCACTCTAGATTCGTCCAGGGACTTGTTCCCAATTTTCAATGCTTGTTTCAAGCAGAAACCGACGAGCTTCGTCGATTGATATATCACATTTTCCATAGCTGAAACAGGTCGGCTGAGAAATCGATTTTTTGCTTGTTTTCCTCGTGAGTCTGGCGGTAGAAGAAATCAATTTTTCAGGCGGGCTGTTTCAGCTACAGAAAATCTAATTATCCCAACTGATAGAGCTAGTCGAATTACTCTTTGAACAAGACTGTGACAGTTTGAACAACTTCCTGGGCGAGTCTGGCGTGGGACTACTTTTCAGAGTACCTCGATCTCATTAGAGTAAAACAGAAAGATCACTTTTCTAGACAACCTGTTTGAGCTAGGAAAAATTTGATCATACCAGTCGATAGAAATCGTCGAATTCTACTAGAAACAAGAATAGAACAGCTGGAATAATCTCTGAACATATCCAGGATGAAATTAGTTTTGTGGGTGCCTGTAACCCATACGGTGAAAATCGAAAAATCGATTTTTCAGCTGATCGTTTTGAGCTCTGGAAAATCTAATCATACCAATTGATAGAGCTAGTCGAATTCTGCTTGAAAGAAGAATTGGACAGTTGAGACGAGTCTCTGGGCGAATCCTGGGTGGAAATACTTGAGTCTGGTGATAATTTCACCTTCGCTTTCTTAATACAAACGAAAATCATTTCGTAGTTTCTGCTTCTAATAAAAAATGAGTTCTGCATGAGTTTATTGTTGCCTGTAACACATGCATCGTCAATGGATTGAGACTGATCAAAATAATAAATAACTGTGAGATGAAGACAGCAGAGTAAATGAAGGAGATTAGTAACTGACAAGCATCAAAGAATCGCTGTTTCAAATGAATAGTCAATCCTTAGAGTAGATTTCATACAAGTGTCTCAACTGTGTCTGATGTGCAGATCATATTGACGTCTCAGAATGACCATTACGACAGTCATAAATGATCGTATATCGTCGAGTCGCATACGACGCAATACGACCATTGTAAATGGTCGTATATGGTTGCAAACAAGGTTGTTTGTCATCGTATTGCACTTAAGTTTTTTCTAGCTACCCTCAACCCCTCCCAACTCTCCAAATACTTCAGTATCTGATATTGGAGATTCCTAGTCTGACCGAAAGTTCCACTTTTTGTTGTCTCATTAAGTTTCAATGATACATCAGAAAAATATCATGGTTTCATGCGTTGGAGTCTACTCAAATCCGTGACATTTTTCTGATCAATTATCGAAACTGAATGAGACAACAAGACTTGGAATGTTCAGTCAGGCTGGACAGCCACACTTATCTAAACCAAACTTGTCGTATCATTGACCGTTCTAGTTAACCTAAAAACAGATAAATTTCTCTGAATAAAGAATTACGCACTACTCCACTTATCTTTATGTATAATCTAAAAAATAAATTTACCTTAATAAATCAATACTTGATGTTTGATTTGTCGTAAAATTTAATCTAAAACAAAATATAATTTTTTTAAAAATATATCATTACTTACTACAAGATTTATCATTATAGATAATCTAAAAATAAAAAATCAAATTTATTCAAATAAACCAACACTTCCAGTTTGATCTGTCATTGTGGTTAATCTAAAAAACAAACATAACTTTTTCTAAAAATCAATAATTACTTGCTGGTTGAGTTATATATACTATGGGCAGCCAAATGTTCTGAGAATTTTCAAAAAGGACTGTGTCGAATTTGGTGACCTACTCAGAATTAATAAATCAAACATACCGTGTTGTAGAGCAAGACGGGACGCGTCGAATGGTATATAATAAATCTTGTTTTAAAAAAATTTTGAAGAAACCAGATTAGATTTACTGGTGGACAGCCATGCATTCAAAGATTCACCGACAGGGATTACCCATGAAAAATGATAGTGGGTCATCGAAAAGTCGCATTTTTCTTTATCAAAAATAGAATGATCTGAGGTACGAAGTATATAACCTTATAGCCCGTAAAAAACTCTACAAAACTGTATTTTAGGGAAATTATTTTTACAAATACTTTCGACTGATACTAAGGCTCAAAATGGTCAGTGCTTTGAATGCGTGACCACCTATCGATAAATCCAGTCAGTTTCCCTCAGAATTTTTTTGAAAACAAGATTTATTACATACCATTCGACGTGCCTCGACTTGTTGTACAACATGGTATGTTTGGTTTATTAATTCTGAGTAGGTCACGAAATCCGGCATGGTCCTTTTTGAAAATTCTCAGAACTTTTCGACTGCCCATAGTATATAGGTAACCTAAAACTGAAAAAAATAAAATTTATTCAAATAAATCAATACTAGCTGTTTGATTTGTCCTTGTGGTTAGTCTAAAAAAAATCTTTTTTTTCAAATAAATGATTACTTGTTGTTCGATTCATATTTAGGAACGATCTAAAAACAGAAAAAACAAAATTCATCCAAAGAAACCAATAATTGCTGTTTGATTTATTTGGATAGATTTTGTTTTTTTCTTTTCAGATTATCCATTAATATAAATCAAAATGCAACTAATTATTGATTTAAAAAAAAATCTTTTTTTTTAAAGATTAACCACAACCTCAAATCAAAAGGTCAATTTTGACTCATTTGAATGAATTTTATTCCTTATTTTTTGATAATCTATAATGATAAAACTTATAATAAGTAATTTAATATTCAAAAAAAATTATATTATATTTCAGATTGACTACAACCACAAATCTAACAGTAACTATGCATTTATTTAANTAAAACTGAAAAAAATAAAATTTATTCAAATAAATCAATACTAGCTGTTTGATTTGTCCTTGTGGTTAGTCTAAAAAAAATCTTTTTTTTCAAATAAATGATTACTTGTTGTTCGATTCATATTTAGGAACGATCTAAAAACAGAAAAAACAAAATTCATCCAAAGAAACCAATAATTGCTGTTTGATTTATTTGGATAAATTTTGTTTTTTTCTTTTCAGATTATCCATTAATATAAATCAAAATGCAACTAATTATTGATTTAAAAAAAAATCTTTTTTTTTTAAAGATTAACCACAACCTCAAATCAAAAGGTAAATTTTGACTCATTTGAATGAATTTTATTCCTTATTTTTAGATAATCTATAATGATAAAACTTATAATAAGTAATTAAATATTCAAAAAAAAATTATATTATATTTCAGATTGACTACAACGGCAAATCAAACAGTAAATATGGATTTATTTCAATAAATTTTGTTTTTTGATTTTTAACTTATCTATAATGATAAATCTATAGTAAGTAATTATTTATTTGAAAAAAAGGAGATAAATTTCCTTTAAATAAATAAAATTCTTACTGGTCAACTATTTGTTATAGATAATTTAAAACTAAAAATAAAAAAATTATCCAAATCGATCCTTGTAGATTGTCTTTTTGTTGTAGTTGGTCTACAGCAAAACATAAACATTATTTTAGAAAATAATTATTTCCTGTTCTATTTATTTTTATAGATGATCTAAAAATCTAAAAATAGAATTTATTTAAATAAATGCATAGTTACTGTTAGATTTGTGGTTGTAATTAATCTAAAACTAAAGGTCAAAGGAAAATTTTTCTGAATTAATGCTTACTGCACCGTTTAAGACGAGCATCAGGATGGTTATAAAGTATCGTACAAATCACAACATGCGGTGGTATAAGTTATTATAGACGTAGTTGTGTATTATTGATTTTGTATGATCAATGTTGTCTCTGGCAAATGAAGAAATATTAGGCATTCTACTATGGTTTGAAGTGATATTGCATTATGATAATATGTATTTATTTCAAATACAGTATTATACTGAATAGACAACAATATAATCATTCAAGTCAATATATAAAATAGAAATAAAAAAAATAATTTCTAGCAAGGAGTGAAGCATATAACATTAGCAAGCTATCTTGTTATATACGAGAAAAATACACGACGCAAATATGATCGCATACGAACGTCGTTTGCAATCGTAGATTTTAAATTCGTGGCTGTGTGAGATATTAGTTAGATTTATTTTTGCTTTTAGTATTATTCTAATAACTTACTCACAACAACAAAATGAACAAAACCCAATTTATGAAGAAAATTTTCTGTCATTAACCTATCGGTCTGGTTTGGTGACGTGCAGATAATAATGTTTACTTATTTAGTCAAATAGTCTGTTTTTTACCTTTGCAGCAAGTCAAAATAAAAACACTTCTTATCGTTTGTTATTTTGCCGCCTTTTTCTTTTTTCCAATGACACACACTACCAATAATGAATCTACACAAGATGAGCACAGAACGTTGAAAACTACGAAACTGCCGAACGAAACGACATGCATCAGTGATCTGTACACATTGAATATTGCATATGAAATAAAAAACAACATACGTATACCTTGAAAAACATTGATAAGCAAAAAAGGACTAGAAAAATTAAAATGATTTTTATTTTGAAACCCTAGTGTTTTAGATTCATATATGTGTCGACATTGACTTTAAAATAAGAAAATTTTAAAGCCAAATAAGGTGCCTTTAAAAAGCAACTGAATTTTAAAGTCAACTCCGACATGTATAAACGAAAAGTTGCAAAACAAATGATTTCGATAGTCATTGTCATACGTAGCTGATAGCCAGTTATTACAGTTGTACATATTCATCATTATACACTTCGAACTGCTTGTTCTTTTAACCAATTTAATTTTAATTTTTTTTCATTATTCAAATTTATTGTGCCACTTGAAAGTGCTTACAAATAAAAGAATTGCTGCTATTCTAAGAATGAAATAATACATATTTATTAACAATTTAATTTTGTAGTTTTTCTCCTATTTGAGCAAGGGAAGTGTTCAGGTTGCTTGTTTAGCAATGGATTGAGATAAAGTATCATTAAAAATTTGAAGATTCAAAAAAGAACAAGAAGAAACAGAGAAGGCCACTGAAAGAGACAATAGCTAACACTTAAATATCTTTGCGATCAGTTATTCACCATAAAAAAGTGTGAGAAAGAAAAAAACGAAAAAGAGAGAAAGAAAGAGGAAAGAAAAGGAGAAAGACAAAGAAAAGCGAGAAGNATCTTTCTTCATACCTAATTTTTTTAAAAGATACCGGAAATGTCGGTTGTTCAAAATTAATCTCAGGTTAACAGGTTACGATATGGACAACCTGTAACCTGCCCTGTAAAAATTTCATAACCTGGCCCTGCCCTGCCCTGCTATTTTCGCAGCTTGTCCTGTCCTGCCCTGTCAGGGCAGGGCAGGGCAGGGCAGGTTACCTGCATCCTGCAGGGCTCTAACCACTTGTTCAAATCGTTGAATTTGATGTTAAACTTTCATCTCGGATAATTGATTTTGGTATTGTACCTTGTAATGGACGTCGAATTGAACAAAATATTTTCTTAGAAAATGTTTTACCTTGTTTAGTACGTGTTAAAGCTCAAATACAAACAACAGAAACAAATTCTCGTCAATCGAAATTACTTATTATTGATGATGAACTTGATTTAGCTGCTAAATCAAAAATTCCATTTTCAATGGCAATTGAACCTTGTGATAATAATGAAGAAGATATTGAAGCTGATATTGCACTTGCTATTGATACAAGAAAAAATGTTAAATGGATTAAAGTATTAGCATCTGTTCGACGAACTCATCTAACAGTTATATTTGATAATCGTATTATTATTGATGATAGTCAATCAGGTCATTTAATTATTGAAAATTTTTATCAAGGTGAAAAACGTCTTATTCCAATGGAATTTTATAATAATGGACTTGTTGAATATACACTTTGTTTAACATCAGAAGATGATGGATTAATATTTCCATTTGTTGATTTAAAATTATGTGCCGGTGAAAGACAAACATCATATATTGAAGTGCAAATATCAACAAATGTATCAACACGAATTTTTAATATTAATATTGATTTTTTTAATATTCGACGTCGATGTAAATTGATATTAACATGTGAAACAGCAAAACCTTCACTTAATTATTATATACCTAAAATTGAAGAAAAACATGTGATTATTATTAATAATGATGAAGATAAAGAAGATATTTGGAATTCAATTCGTAATGTTCTTAATCCAATAAAACATCAAGTAACATTTATAAATAATGGTAAAGCTGCAGCAACAGTTCGTTTTGATCGAATACTAACAGAACAAAATTTATCATTACCATCAACAACTTGTTTTGATGTTAAACCAAATAATATTATTGTTTTACCACATACAGAAACATCAATTGATCTTCTTTATTATCCAAATGATTTTCATTCATTTAATAGTACAATTGAATTTGTTAGCAATGCATTTACTGATCCAATTCATATTCCTTATCATTTAGAATTTCATAAACCTTTGCTTAGTACAAATCCACGATCAGTTATTGATATTGGTCAAATTGAATTAGGAAAAATTATACGAAAAAAATTACTTTGTATAGAAAATATTGGATCTGTTGAACTTCGTATTTGTTTTTCTGAACCATTTCATCAACATTCATTGGTCAAAACGGCTGATATTGAATTTTCATCATCACGATCAGATCCTCATATATCTAAAGAGAATTTTATTAGCATAAATCCAAAGAAAAAACGTTGGTTTAATGTTATGATTGAATTTAATTCAACTAATTCATCAACATTATCAAATGTAGTTGCACTTTGTGCTTTTCAAGTGAATACTCAATGTGATCCAATTATTAATACAGAAGGAATATTAGTTAATCGTCAATTAATTCTTCTTATTGTTGGACATACACAATCAATACCATCATTTATTTTACCAAATGAATCTGAACGTAAATCATGGTCATCATTGAAATTGTTACCTTCATCTTGGCTTTATTCAATTCATAAAAATTATCATATTTATGAAAATTATATTGATTTAATAGGACTTATTGCTATTGCACATGTTTGTGGTTGTCAACAAACAAAAGATAAATTACCAATAACTCTATCCGAATGGAGAACATTTTGTTCGAATATTAATAATCAATCAAATATTTCTCTTGAAATGTTTGAAAAAAATCAAAATAATCTTAATAAATCTCTTGAAATATTATCGAAATTATTAAAAGAAACAAATAATGAAAATAATTATAATTATTCATTGTTTTATCATTTATCATCAGTTCAACATTCATTTTCATCTGATGATACAATTGTTATACAATTATTCAGTGTTATTAATTCTACAAATCTTATTGATGAAGCTTATACAATGCAATCATATGTAAATTTATTTTGGAAATTTTATAATCAATGTCCTGAAAATGAAAGTCATCGTCAAGCTATTCATTTTGTTTATCAATGTATTAATAAAGATTCAACAATGTCTTTGGATGTTATTAAATTTATTGAATTTATTTATCAATCATTAAATTTTAAAACATCAACAGATATAATTAATCAATTATCAACAATATTACCTAATGATGATGCTATGGCAGAATTATTAACATTAAAAATTGATTCAAATGGTAAATTTCGTTGGCCATTACTTTTTTTACTTATATCAGATTCAATTCGTAAAATAATTATTCAATTAATTAATGAAGATTATTTAGTATTACTTGATATACATATGAATTTAATTAATCAACAACAATTATCAAATATTTGGAAACGAACATTATTTAAAATGATTAAAATTTCAAATAATTTCTGGAATACATTAACATTAGATAATAAAAAAGAATATATTGAAATATTTTTAAATCATTTTCCAAATTTAATATCAATTATATCAGAAATTTCTAATGAAAATTTACCACAATTAAATCATATTTTATCAATAACAAAAATAATACTTCAATATATTGATTCATCATATGATTTTCATAATATTGAATTCATTTTTCAAGAAAAAACACAATATTCAATAAGAAAAAAACATTTAATATTTTCACATTTACAAACAACAGTAAGATCAAATATAGCATCATCAATATTTTGGTTAAAAAAATCAATTATTAATGGTTTTATTGATGAACAAGCACGTTCTTATCAAATAACTGAATATTGTGATATTCTTGAACAACTTGTTCAATTAGATGTTAATCAATGGAAATTATTTCAAATGATTTTAACATCATTGTGGTCTCTTATTTGTATTATTTGTAAAAATGATACTAAAATATCTGATATTATTGATAAAATTCTTCATTTTCTTCATATAATTGATATTGATAAACAATGGTTATTAATTCGTGATGCATATAAAGAATATTATTTACAACCATCATGGTTAACAATGTTAAATTTAACAAATATAATTAATTATGAAAATGAAATAAATAATTTTATTAAAAAAATTTCAACACATACAAATGAAGATGATGTAGCATTAGATATATTTAGACTTTGTCGTTGTTTATTAACAAATGATGAACAAATAAAACTTGATCAAAATCAAATAATTATTAATAATTTATCAATAAATATTCAATCAAACATTGATTTATTAAAACAAATTGAAAATCTTGTTTCTGGTCTTATCAAAGAAAAAATTCATTTATTTCTTCAATCAATTAAAATATTTCAAACAATTCCATTAACAAATATTAATATTCAATTATGTCCATTTGAAACACTTTTTCCATTATGGAATATTTTATTTGATATTAATTGTAATTATTCATTAAAACTTTTTGAATCTATATCATCTATATTAATATCATTTCATTCTCTTGTTATATCAAAATCAATTCCATTTATTCAACAAATATATACAACAAATATGGCAGTAGCACTTTGTACATTAGCAAATTCACGATTAAATAATCGTCAAATAGGAATATCAACTATTGATTTACCAAGTGTTCCATCAATAATGTCAATTATTCGAACAAATATTATTCGTCGACATTCATCACCTTGTACAACACCAACAACTAGATTAATTCGATCGAATATAATGCCATGGGATAATATTCCACTAAGAAAATTATCAAAAACAATTATACCACGAACTTCACCTTATTCAAATATAACTTTGACAAAAATGCAAGTTTCAGTTGCTGATTATGTTAATCATGCACAACAAACATTTATTCATTTTAAACAATCGGATTCTGTTCAAATTATTATTGATGCAGCTATTTCTTATCATTCGTTGGTTACACAATGGTATGATGCATTTATGACATATAATGTTCTTGTACGTCATTCATTAAATCTTAATCAAGAAAATCAAATTAATTATGGTTATCATATTATTCAATATGGTCTTAAATTACTTCGTGATCTTATTGTTAGTAAAATAATTCTTGAATCAACATTTACTAAAAAAGGTGTTCGTTTTCTATTGGATGATATATCACATTTAGAAAATTGTCTTCGTTCATTATCATTAGAAAAATATCCTAATTTAAGAAATACACTTCGTTTACTTCATATTGATATAAATCGATCGAAATTCGATTTTAAACCACCATCACGTTCACTTGCATTGAAAGGGAAATTAGTACGAAAATTTCAATTTGATATTGATTCACATGAAATTACAAAATCTTTACCAATATCTGAAATATCAAAAACAATTCCTTTACCATTAATAGTCGATCATGATAATATTAAATTATCAAAAAATGATTGGGAAAATGCTATTCAACATGAAACTCTTAAACATAAAAATGTTAATTTAACATCAACGAATATTATTAAACATAGATTAACAGATAAACGTAATCGAGATGTTATTAACGGTGTTCAAACTGGTACACAAAGATTAGCTAATGATATTTTAAATCAATATATAAATATGAATGATTTAACAGAAATCGTTCGAAATAATACGACAATTGAAGATGATATTGAATCGATGTATCCAAGTTCAATATCAGGAAAAGATTTTGAATTACAATTGAATCTTATGCGTGATCATTTAAAAAATGATAATACAATTATTAAAATGTATAAAACAGCCGATAAAAAAGTTGCTTCGATTGTACCTGATGGTAAACTTGATAGTCGACCAGCACTTAAATTAACAACTGAACCTGAACGATGGACATATCAAATGTTAATTGAAACACCAGCTATTACTCGTATGATTGATTTAATTGTTCGAGGATTTCGTTCAAAATGGGAACAATTACTTATTCGAAGTGATCCAAATATTGAACATGAAATTCATTGGTGTATTATGATTGATAACTCAGGTTCAATGAGTATTCATCGTAATGCTATTTATGAAAGTTTAGTTGTATTAATGGAATTATTAAGAAAACTTGAAAGTAAATTTGCTGTTGCTCGTTTTGGTGGACGTACAAATCAAAAAATTTTAAAAAATCTTGATGATCTTTTTACTAATCAAGATGGCCAATATATATTAGAAGCATTAACATTTGATGAAGGCACATATCCAGCGACAGGACTTGCACGTGTTGCTGATCGAGTATTTCCAGAAAAAAAAACTAAAACAAGAACAAATGTTAATATTCATCAATGTGTTATTATGATAACAGATGGTTTAACAAGAGAACGTGAAAACACAACATATACAGGAACAATGGCTAAATATAATATTGATCTTGGAATTTTATTTATTGAAACAGATAGACAAGAAACAAGTGAAGTACTTCTTGCTTGTTTAAAAAAAGTACAAAATGTTGTTATTAAATCGAATCGTATGACCGAATTACCACATTTAATTCCAATATTATTACATAAAATGATTGGTCAATGTTTGAAAAAATCAAATTTTGAAACAGAATTAAATATTATACCACCAACTATACATATTGAAGTACCGAAATATCAAGAAACTAATCCAATAGTTAATAAACCATCGAATGAGAAGCTGAAATATTCAAGTGCTAATCCCAGTTCATATATGATTAGTAAATCTACAGCAAACATTCCTGGATTATCTCAGGTTAATTATATTAATTCTACTAGAAAAAATTTTGTTTTTCTAAAACTTAGATATATTTTGTCAAAGAAAAAAATACTGAATATTAATTGAGATTAAAGCAGTTATAGGCTTCTTTTTATCTATTAAAGATATTAACAACAAAAATCTGAACACAGTTAAGATGATAG